TGTGGGGGTCCCAGAAATTCCTAGAGGGTCCCAACAGTTCGAGTGGGAACCCAGAGGGAACCCCAGAGCACGCAGGTGTCCCTGTGGGTTTCAGCACATCCCAGACAGTCCCAGCAGTCCCATCCCAATGGGTCCCAGCAAGTCCCAGAGCACACGGTGGGTGATGGTGGGTCCTGGTGGTGCTGGTGGCCCCATATCCAATGGCATTCCTCAGTCTCATTCCCGCTGCGCCTGGCTGGGGGCCCCGGGCGCTGTGCGGGGCGTGTGGAGCTGCTGCACGCCGGGAGCTGGGGCACGATCTGCGACGACGACTGGGGACTGCCGGACGCGGCGGTGGTCTGCAGGCAGCTGGGCTGCGGGACTGCGTTGGCTGCCCCATCGGGAGCCTGGTTTGGGGAAGGCTCCGGCCCCATTTGGCTCAACCACGTGCGGTGCAGCGGCGATGAGCAGCGCCTTGTCCAGTGCCGGCACCGGGGGTGGCACAGCCATGTCTGCGCCCACGAGGAGGATGCCAGCGTTGTGTGCTCGGGTGGGCAGCGGGCGTGAGGGTGAGGGAGGGGAGAAAAGAGGGAGCCCCCCCATCATGGTGTGCATCTCTACAGCTCATCCCCTGCTGTCGCCTGGAACCACGGAGCCCACTGGCACTGCTGGCAGCACCCCAACAGATGGTGAGTGTTGCATGGCTGTGAGCGTTGCACGGGGTTCAGGGTGAAGTATGGGATGCACAGATGCAGTATGGCAGGTGTAACTTGTGCAGGTATGATGTGCAGGGCTGCATATGGTGTGCAGACATGGTTATAGAGTGCATGGGTGCAGCATGCATTAGGATTGGGTGCAAGGTTTCAGGCTTCACAGCATGCACAGAGCATGCATGGGGATGTAGGGGTGCATTGGAACATACGGTATGGGGTGCACAGGTGACAGCATGCACAGGTATGGTTGTGGGGATGGTGAGGGGATGGAGTGGGGGTGGAATAGGGGTGGGATGGATGGTGGTAAAATAATAGAACAGAAAAGGAGAATAGGAGGAGCTGGAATGGAGATGGGATGGGGATGAGATGGATTTGGGAAGGATCATGGAAGGAGAAGGGGTGGATGGGATGGAAAAGGGAAGGGGAAAAGGATGGAGTGGGAAAGGAGCATGGAAAGAGCAGGGATGGAGCCAGAAGAAATAGGGATGAAGATGGGATAGAACTGAGATAGAGAGGGGATAGAGCTGGAATCAGAAGGGCTGGAATCAGAAGGGGTGGAGAAAGATAGAGAAGGGAGTGGAGAAAGGAAGGGGGGTAGGAGGGAAGGAGTGGGGATCAAGCAGGGAGTGAGATGGGGTGGACGTGGAATCAAAAGAGATGGATGAAGATGAAGAGGGGATGGAGATGGGAAAGGCAGGAGCTAGGACGTATCAGGGAAGGAACTGGGGATGGAGCCAGGTGGGAGCAAGTATGGAGAGGGAATGCAGTGGGCATGGAGAGAGATGAAGAGGGAATGGGTTGGAGGTGGATTAGAGATGGACTGGGGAAGGAGATGGGAAGGGAAGGAGAGTAGAAGTCTCTGGGATGGAGAAGACATGGAGAAGGGATGGAGTAGTGAAGAAATGGGGATGGGAATGGAGTTGGATAGGTGCAGATAGGTGGACAGAAGTGCAGAGGGAAGGAATGCAAATGCAGTGGAGGTGGAGATGGGATACTGCAGGAAAGAAGCAGGGATGGGGAGGATTAGACAGGGAGACAGCTGGGACACATACCTCATCCCCAAACGCAGCAGCAGAGTTGGTGCCAGCAGCAATGTGGGTGCCCTATTCACCAGCCCCATACCCACTGCGTCTGGCTGGGGGCCCTGGGCGCTGCGCGGGGCGCGTGGAGCTGCTGCACGCCGGGTGCTGGGGCACAGTCTGTGATGATGGCTGGGGGCTGCCGGACGCGGCCGTGGTCTGCAGGCAGCTGGGCTGTGGAGCTGCGCTGGTTGCACCTGGTGGGGCGTTTTTTGGTGAGGGCACCGGCCCCATCTGGATGGACAATGTGAGGTGCTGGGGGAATGAGTCGGCATTACTGCAGTGCCCAGCTGCACCATTGGGCATCACCGACTGCCACCACCGGGAGGATGCATCTGTCATTTGTGCAGGTACACGCCCATGCATCGTGCATGCAGCCTGGCGTGCTCCCTGCAGTGCATGCAGTTCTGCAGAGCTGTGCGGTGTGCTCCCAGTGTGCATGCAGTATGTGCATTTCTGTAGAGAAGTGCAGTATGCTCCTGGCATGCATGCAGTTCTATGCAGTCATGGATAGTGTGCACACACCTCACTGTGCTCTTGTTCATGCATATGGCGTAGAGAAATGCAGTGTTTATGCAGTCTGTATGAAGTCTCCGTGCTTACGCAGTGCTCCTGAGGCAGTGCATGTGCAGCTAAATTGCAAACAGGGTGGCAGCAGGGTGCGCTGCACACAGCAGCATTAAAAGGTGCAGTGCATATGCTATGTGAACACATGCAGAGAGCAGTGACCATGTGAGCTCATGGGGTGAGGTGCATGCACAAGGCAGGTGTGCACAGTGCACCACCAGGCTCACGCTGCTCTCCTGCCTCCGCCAGATGAGCTGACTGGGGTAGACCCCATGCAGCCCCCTCCCGAACAGCTGCCCACCAGGTCACTGCTGGTGCCCCCTTCTGCTGTGCCACGTGTGAGTGTCCGGCCCTGCAGCACCACCTCCCCTCAGCCTACACCAAGCAGCTGGCCCATGGCAGGGACGTCGCAGACAGGTAGGAGGAGAAGGGATGGAGTGGGAATGGAGATGGGATGGAGATGGGATGGAGATGGGATGGAGATGGGATG